ACCCAACAGAAACAAACAACAACAACAACAACAAAACCAAGAACAAATGAAGCAGAAAGAAAACTTATAATATAAAGATAAAAATAAAAATAAGGAGTAAGAAAGAAAAGACTACCAGCAATATTAAAAAGTCAGAGGAGAAAGTTCTGCTGTGGAACAAGAGGAACTATTTAAGCCTAGAGCAAATTCAGGTTGGGTCAAGAAGGAGGTCAACTGACCAAGTATCATATTATATCCACCAATAGAAACATCAGTGCCTCCTCGGAAATGCAGATGCTCCCCTCCCCTGGTCTGAACTTGATTTTCCAGTGCTGTTCTCTTCTCATTCCTGTGGGGGCCCGTTGATTTATGGAAGCTTTGTCTTAATGTAATGACATCAACTAGATGCCTTCTCTCTTTTCCCAGTCATGTTTAAACATCTAAAAAATTAATCCATTTATTTGTAATATGTCATAATGCTTCATAGTTTAATCATGTCAAGCAGAAGTGTACAATTGCTACCACAGTCAGTTTCCAGTCAGACTCCTAGATATCATCCTCCACCATTGTACCCCACTACCCCAGAAACCCTGACTCTACTTGCTATCTCTGTAAGTTCATCAATCCTGGGTTTCATATATAAAAAAATGGAAAAACATATAAAACAGCTTTAAGAGGGTGACCCCCCAATGACATGACACCTCTGAGACACACCCTAATATGAACAAAAACCAAACCAAAAATATGGAAAAATTTGGAAACCAGATCATGTTTCATAGTGGTGGTGGGGGATCTAAGTTTTAGCTGTTCAAGTCAGATGTGCGCCTTTGATCTTCTATACTCATGTCTCCAGAGCTCTCTGTTTAGGAACCGCTTTCCTCCCCTCCCTCAATTGCAGATAGAGGATATTCTCTGGAGACTTATTTCCTACGTAGTTCCACAAATAAATCTTGGGCTCCCACTGTCGACTGTAGCCTCTGGCTTCCCACCGGATTCCCACAATTTTGCCTCTGATACTAGTCCCTCGGACTTTGGATTGTATGGTTTACCATTCTTCACTGACTGATGGTGGTGTGCTTCCAGGTGGACTTAGTTGACATCTCACTTAGATGGTTGCTTACTTGGAAACAAGCCTTTAAGACACCAGATACTATTTTATCTGGTAGTCAGGCACCACCTACATTCTTCACCACATTTTGCTACAGCACCCATGTCTTCTGTGTTTTCTTCCTGAGGGCAAATGTCGAGCAGGGCCATGATCTAAGAACTAATTGTTCTTAAGTTGGGGCTACGATTTAGTGTGACCCCCAAACCCATTTATGGATCCATGTTTATTTGGTATGTTTGTTCTTTTATATTACTTGGGGGTTAATACATATGTCCTATCATTCCATAGTTCAATCTCATCAAACAGAATTGTACAATTTCTTCCATAATTAATTTCCTAACATATTTTTCTTTCCTGGTCTCCTTGATATCATCTCCCTTTTACCTCTCCTACCCACCTTTGACCGCTCCCCCATACCCTTGTTCTATTTGCTGTCCCTATAGACTCATCCATTCTGGGTTTAATTTACTGAAAAGCAGAAAAAATAAATAACACAACTTCCATAGGGTGACCAATGACATAGCACCTCTGAGATACAACCTACTATGAACAAGCATAAACAAAATGAAACAGAATGGCCATCACTCATTTGCCGGAATGATACATATCTTAATACAGCACACAGGGTGCTTATGAAGCAGGACTTTGATTGAATGCTTACCAATAGTTCACTGCTCTTGGTCCAGCTGTCTTCTGCTTCCTCAGACACCATGTATTTTCTGACGTAAGTCCTCAGGTTACAAATGTGTCTGAGGTAGAGGACAGTTCATCCAGTAAATTTCCCACTTGGGATCTCACTGGCGTAGTCTCTGGAGCATGCCATCCATCCCCAAGTTCCAGTATTCAGTGACCCAGTGTTCCACAGCACCTGGCCTGGGTCCCTGAGATTCCCCTATACCCCTGAGTTCAATGTGGCCCATTCATTGCATGCCACCAAAGTCACTGTGTTAGTCTGGGTATCTTAGAGAAACAAATCCACAGAAACCCACGTATAAGAGAGAGTTTTATATAAAGGTTAAGTGCCATCAAGAAAACATCCCAACCCAGTGCTGCCCAAGCCCACAGGTCCAACATTAACACATATGTCTGACACCAATCCACAAAGTCCTCCTCTACCAAAACACACACTCTGACACCAACTGCAGGAAGAAAGCCGAGTCAGTGAATGTGTAAGCATCTCAGCACTGATAGGGGTCTCCATACGGCTGCTCCAGCACCCAGGGCTGCATCCGGGTAGGTCCATGTGGCTTCTCCTCAGGGATGTCTTGCAGGAAGTGAGCCTTGCCAGCTGAAGCAGGAACTGGCTAAGGCAGCTTCACCCTGACCCGACCATCAGAAAGCAAGAGACAGGAGAACTAGAAAGGTGAGGCTCACCAAGCCATTTATCCCTCCGCCCTTCAATTCATCCTACATGTGTTTATCGGCCAGGTTGACACAATAAACTAACTACCTCAGTCACTCCACCCCTAATGTTCCCCAAAGCATTTTCAGTCATTCTCCTCCCCACCTGCGTATTGGTCCTCCCTCTTTTCCTACCAACACACATGCCTTTGTGTTCCCCCAGCTGTGATTGCTCCCTTTCCCCTCAGCTGCGTTGTCTTTTCCATCCTCTCTCCCATCCCTGACAGGCTTTCTACATGCTGGCAGGCAGTGGGGGTGGTGGTGCTCATCACAGATTTACATGACAACCACTCAGTAGACAACACTACATCCTCCTCCCCTTCCTTGGCCATCTGCTCCCAGATGATGTGAGATACCCTCTGGTCAAGTGACCTAAACAATACTTACCTAGAGCGGATGCTGTCTGGTTCATTGGCACCGGTCAGGCTCTCTATCGGGCTGTCTAGCTCCAGCCAGAAGACTGGATGCCCTACAAGCCTGAGCTTGTGCCTTTCTGCAGCTTGTTCCTACAGCAGTGGACTCATACAGTAGTTGTCCTTTTGTGTTTGACTAACTTTGCTCAGCATGTCTTCCAGATCTCTCCATGTCTTGAGGTATTTCATGGTTTCAGCACTGTTTTTAAGGGATGCATAGTATTCCGTTGTGTGTATATATCAGAGTTTTTAAACCCAGTCTTCTACTGATGGGAATTTAGGGTGTGTCCAGCTTTTCGCTACCGTGAACTGTGCTGCAGTGAACATGGGGGAGTAAATGTCTGTTCCCAATCTGTTTCTTACTGTTTGTTTTCCTGCTTCTTGACAAGCAGCTTTGTATGTCAATCAGTGACATTAAAACATGCCCCCAGGGATTTTTTAAGGCCCTTTATCAATACTGTATCTTTGTGAAACCAATGGTGTTGCCTTTCTTTATTACGTGTGTTGAGGTTATACCAGTTTCCATTGAGTTGATTCCAGACCACGGCATCCCCTGATGTGTCACAGTAGCACTGTGCAGCACTTGGTTTTCATTGGCTGATTTCTGGAAGTGCATTGCCTTTGAGTGGGTTCAAACTGTCAACCTTTTGGTTAATAGCTGAGCTTGTGCCACCCAGAGCTCCCATTTTGGTGACACTACCTTGAAGCAGGTCACCATGAATTGGCATAGACTCAATAGCCATACATATATTTTCTTAAAAAGCTCTTAAGTAACGTGACTGAAATTTTAGCTTAAGTGATAATCCACACGAATGCTGTTGGATCATATTTTCTTTGGCTGTTCTCAAAGATCTCTACTTATTCCCCAATTTGTACTGGAAAATCATTCAAAATTTTAATCCCAGGAATTGAGATGATGCTTCCAAAATTTGTTGTGGGAGCCCTCTAAATTAGAAACCAAAATGGTCTTGTTTTGCCTTCCAAGGATATTTTTCAGAATTTTGAACCTGTGAGTTGTCAATAAGCCTTCCTCCAATCCTGATGCCACATTCTCCTTCATGTAGTCCTGCTTCTCAGATGATTTGCTCAGCACACAGATCGCATAACTATGGTGAAAATATATGCACGACTTTTCTGATTCCAACCATGCAGTATTTCCTTGTTCGTTTGGACGACTGCCTCTTGGTCCATGTTCACTTTCCACATAAGCACAATTAAGTGTGTTCGAACTTCAAAAGCCAAGAAGGTGGGTTTGAGATCTGTGTATTAATTTTACAAAATTGTAGGTTTTTTTCCTCCTGATTTTTTTCTTACATGAACTAAAAATAAATTGATCAATAATCTTTACCATTCTCTAATATAATCCATGATTGTCTGCCATTAAACCAGTAGCCCAATGATAAAATCAGTATAAACTTATAGGATTCAGGAAATTAAGGTACATAAAATTATTATTGAATATTAGATGTTCAAAGTGTCTATTATGCTTTTGCTAAACCTTCAAATGACAAGTTTTTAAAATGTATGCCCTTTGAAAACCAGGGAGACAGGCACTCCTTAGGATAAACAAGCCTATAAGCTCAAAAGGGCAGCATTTGCCCAGGTATAAAACTCAGAAGAATGGATAGGAAAGAAAGAACAGTAGAAATTGTAAGCTCAGTGGGAAGAGTGCTGTTACTTTATGGGAACTGCTATAACATTATGGGGATTGCAATCAATGTCTAATTTGTTTTGTAAGTTTTCACTTAAATCCCCATAATTTATTCTGTAAATTTGCACTCTAATTCACAATAAAGGGTTAAAAAATGCCCCTTCAGATTTCTCCTCTATGTATTCACCTTAGGTACACATTTTTTCAGAGATAAAACTTGGTCTCAGATCCAAATAATGTCAGCAAATTAAAATAAAACAAAACAACACTAACAACAACACAAAAACCCTTGTAGACATCTTATGAAATGCACTGTGCCAATTGGTCCATATGTGTTTTTTGCTTGGATAAGTCAACATCTGAGCAGCTCAATTTGAAGGGAATGTTTGCATTTAGAGGAGTTGGTGCAGATGACTTCCAAGTTTTCCTCTAAAGCAGAGACTCAATAGACTGAACAAACACCAGGCATATTTTATTAAGGATTTAGGCATGGAAATAATAGGATTTAATGGGTAAATGTGATAAGAAGCTGAACATGTAGTTCCATGAACACCTTTTGGGCTCTATAATTGTTCCTTTACTGAGAAACAAAAATAAAACACCAAATATTTATTTACTCAAAACAAATACATGTTGGAGACAAATAATTATTTTCCCCATAAAGACAGGGATAGGGTTACAAAGAGGACCCCTTGGATAACATACAAAGCAGCAGAACTGTAGCCCATTGGGCTAGTTCCATTTCTTTACTCACTCCACCATGATGCAACTTGGTTATTGATAAGAGAATGGTTTATTTTTGATATTAAGATGAGAGAAAAAGAAAACTCTCATCTTACAATATGAAAATGCCAGATAATATTGACTTCTGAAAAAACATGGACATTTAGTTATATGAAAGGTTTGAGGATTTTGATAATTCCCCAAATTCAGCCCTTCATTATGCCCACTTATTTTAGTAATATAGAATTAATAATGTAGATATGTCCAGGTACAACCCAACCCTATTTATATAAAGAAGAAGTAGACATTCAAGATAGCCTTTATAACACAATTGGAAGGTTAGTAGTTGAGCATGGACGGCACAGGTCTGGACAGTGTTTGGCTCTATCGGCACAGGTCTGGACAGTGTTTGGCTCTATCGGCACAGGTCTGGACAGTGTTTGGCTCTATCGTACACAGGGGCACTATGAGTTGGAGCTGAGTTGATGACACCTAACAACAGAATGACAACAACCATTTAACACAGCAGAAAATGTGTAATAGTCTATTAAAGCTCATATTGCTTCCTCAAATTGTCTAAAGAAGTATAAATGATTAGTGACTCTGTATAATTCTCTACGTGCAGGACTCCTAATGGATTAAAGAGAAAAGAGGCAAATTCCTATTACATGGTCTTAAGAAGCATCTGAAAAATGCCTATTGAGTCATCATAATAAATTGTATCTTCATATTCAGCTATACTTGGAATTCTCTGAAATGGGAAAGCTAGGTTGTGAATTGGAGTCAACTCTCGGGATGTTACAAGTCCTCTCTACCAACTTAAATGAATAAGAGAAAAATGCTAAACCACCATTTTGCTATCAACATATAAAAAGAGAGGGAAATATACTAACTTATAATACGTGAAGAAATGTCTGGATATGAACTCATTTATCCAACCTATCATTGGCCAAATGGAAGTTATTTTAATTTTGTCCTTCAAATAACTTATAATAAAGTGTACCAATTCATTGGAAATAAGATGAGAAAACAAAAGAGAGAACTGAACATTCATCCACAAGACGAGAAGCTTTCTATCAGGGCCCGAGTGTGAATAGCCCACAGCAACATGTGTTTCACGGCAGACACTGACTGCTCTATGGAGAGAAAAGGCAGCTTGTCACATTCCTTAAGCAGTAGAAATAATGAGACATATTTTGGACAGAAAAATTTACACCAACACGCATATGCAAGAGAAAAAGGCAGATTCTGGGATTGGATTCCTGAGACAGATGGATCCCGGGTCTGGTCTTAAGAAATTTGTAGAGTCTTTTTATTTTTCTCCCTTGGAATTTAGTTCCAAAAGGTTTCCAAAACAAACACGAAACTAAGAATGCATCAACCATTTGAAAACAGTCACAGGCTGGCGGGAAATGAGCTTTGTTTTTTAGTCCCAGGTTCAGCGAGGCACTTTCAGCCACCCAGTAACTGCATATTTCTCAAAGGGTAAGACAAAAGAAATATGATTAGACCCATTTTACTAGTAACCAAATCAGCGGTGAAACACAGCATGGATACAGCACTAGTGGCACAAACTCTTGGTGCTACACAGATGCAACCTTTTGCTCTTTTCACGGAATCAGATTTGACATTCTTTAAGATAATGATTTTCATTCTATGTTCCACAGCACGAAGAATCTATTTACTAGGTTTTCAAAGACAGTGGGGACATTTCCAGGGTGCCTCAATTGTATCATTTTCAGGTACTTAACCGCACTAAAGCCTCATGAACATTACGTTAGAATGTTCCACATCTGACCCAGCATGTTGATAAGAGCTGTGAGCCAATCATTTGGAAAACAGTGGTCAGGGACAATGTCATGACAATGTCAAGGCCACAGCATATTTGACAATGATTGGATTCAGAGGTGATCAAGGTTATAGGGCTTGGGAAGGCGACAGGCTTTGTAGAAATAGTTGGTGCACATATGCAAGTTTTTGACCAGAGGACCCACCATCAAGTCATATTGGACTCCACAGAAACAGACTAAGTTTCCTAGAGGGGATCACTGTTAAAAATCATTGCTTGAGAATAAAGGCACTAGATTAACATCAAAATTCAAAACAAGCTCACTACCCCTCGAGTCCATTGTGACTTAGAGTGACCCTAGCTGACAGGGTAGAACTGCCCCTGTGGGCTTCCAAGACTGTCACTCTTGACATGGGTAGACGCCTCATCTTTGTCCCCCCAGCTGCTGGGGTTCTCCTACTGTTGACCTTGTGGCTAGGAGCCCAGTGCATAACCACTCTGCCACCAGCACTCCTAGAGGCTCAGATGGCTTTTGTTATGCCTGTTCTTCCATCGGTCATAATGATTCCTGGTGTGTCTATGTGGAGGGGAGGCAGGGGGTTAGTAACTACCCTTCTCCTCCTCATTTTGTGTCACAGACATATGAATATAGTTTCAGATTGTGGTATTTTTGTTTTGTTATTTTACTTCTTGAAAAACAATTCCTGGGATGTTTAGAGGGGTAAAATTGGAAGTTGGTAGTTCAATTAGCATAGACATAATTCTAAGAGAGGAAGATTACCTCTACAGTGATAGACAAATGATCTAAATTTTAAAAAAAATCAGCAGGATGAAATGCCGGACACAGTCGCATTGTGACACTCTGCACAGAGGCCATTTTCCTGATGCACACATAAAAGGCCCGCATTGCCTCAGGGAGTCAGTGGTTTGGTAGCTGCTGCCTAACCTGTCCTGAAGAGGGCCCATGCTGGGCTGAGTCGAGTGGAGTCGAGCTTTGCTGCTGGGGGTGAATCGCAGGAAATCTTGGGACACTGTTCCTAGTGCTACCATTCTTCTGGGGCTTGGAAGAAAATGGCAGTGATGGCCATTTCATAAAGGACAAAGTTATCTTATGTCCCATGCAAACATTAGTGACAATTAAAGGGCCCATTACACCAAGCTTACCCTTTTCTCAAGGCTCTATTCCTCGAGGAGAGATCTTGAACGCTAAAAAGGGCACAACCATCTCTTCTCCCTTTAGATGTCCCTCTCACCCTCCTGCTAGACTGCCTTTCTGCTTCCAAGAGCCAACTTGGCCTGGTTGTCTTCATTCCTAACCTTTGCACTCTTTATCCCCATCCCCCACCCCAATGATCACAAAAATAAGCTTTATTATGCTAGATGATTGGCAGGATCACTTCTTATTCCAGCAAGAAAGAATATGTGCTAAATATTTAGTGTCTTCTGACCTGGCCATTTCTTGATGAAGAATATCAATGAGAAATCTCCAGAAATTCACAAAAAATGCTCCCCTTAAAAATACAGCCCTGTGTGGCCCTCTGCAATGGCTGATGAGAGAGCTAGTAAAGCAATATTTACAAACAACAAGACAGGAAGTTATCTGATAATTAAATCACCAGAAATCGCCATTCTGCACTACATGAATCCACTGCATAGGATTCCTGGGTCCTTCTTCATTCTTCTTTGGCAGATTAAAAATCAAGTCTCTCGGGGAAATATATGAGACTGCTTTCCTGTCTCTGAAAATTCATGTGTATGCTGGTTCAAAGAACAATCCCTGGTATGAGGTCTGGTTAAATGTTGATGTTATTTATGACAAATTGATCTGACAAAATGTTCCATTGATAAAGATGGTCCAGATCTCTTCCCAGTTTTTGTGTTCATTTTATCCTCATTGGCAGCTGGAAGCTGCGGATTTGCTTTTCCCTTTAAGTTCTTGGGGAGGACCTGGTGTTGATTCTATTAGGACACCACAAAGATTATTCTGAGAAAAAGAGTATACATAATAATGCTTAGCATTTATATAGGATCTTTTGATTTCAAAACACGTTATAAATATGTTCTACCTCCACAACATCTCTGCAAGGTAGATAAGCATAACTGTTCCTACATTATTAATAGAAATCAAGGCCAAGTCTGGAAGGACTTCATTTTAGGCTACAGGGGCATCCGGAGTAATGTCAGGATTGAGCATCCTAACCCTCTGGCTCGACACTGAAAAGGCCATGCCTCTCTCTCATGTAACAACGATGTTCATTCTAGAAGTATACATTGTATTGATAGAAAACAACAATACACATTATAGAACAATAATTCAATCAATACTTTTGTTTCTTAATAATAAAATATGTTAAGCAGAGTATCTAAATTGCATTTTTTTCTGAAAAGCATTTGGTATATTAAATAGCAGAAGTATATTAAATAGCTCTATAAACATTTGCTGGCATCCTCTTAACAGCTTGATTCTAGAGAATTAAAACCTACTGATGCATAAAGTGCTTTCCTTTAAAATACCATTAAATAAGTAAAATAAGTTTGAGAAACTTTATTCTCAGTATGCAGACTTAGTAGCTTGTTGGATATTAGCAGGTGGCTACATATTTTTTCCAGAGTTTTAAAGAAAAGAAAATGCTACACATATTGCTGGATCTGTTTTTTAAAATACCAATTTGATAGAGGGAAAGTATAGTTGGAAGGTGAAAGAATAGTTGAAGGGAAAGTATAGTTGGAAAGTGGAAGATGATAATTTTCATTTTATATTCATTCTGGGCAACGCATACATTTTCGAAATATATGATCATACTTGAAACTAATGTTTAGGTGAAGACAGAGGCGCTATATAAAAAGGACATTTTGTGACAAGTGAAATGATATAAAATGTATGCTATGGTATTAGTAAAATCTGAACAAGGAGGCAAAAGGTTATTTTAAAATAGTTTTGAAAGCTGGCATGACATGTTTTTTCATGCTAAGAAGACTGGAGAGGTCTTGGAGGTGGTTTACAAGGATAAAACACTTGCTTTTATAAGTTTCCTCCACAAGGCAAAATCCTCACTGATTCTAAGTTAGCAGTTCTTGGTCTGGTGTTAAAGAGTTTACCTCAGGCTAAAGTTTCCTAAAAATTGACTAGGTGAATCAGCAGGAGAAGTTCTCAAACTAGAAAGGAAGAGGAATCAAAGTTTTAAAGTCAGTACGCAAACATAAGAACTACCTTCTAAGCTGAAAGGATATTGCCAAAGTTAACAATATAAAAGTCTTAAGTTTAGTGTACATGGTGCTAAGATATTGTTAGATGTTACATGTACTTCCGAGAACATTTAAAATAAGTGTGCTTTTTCCCTAAGAAAAGGACATATTAAATTGTTTTCCTCTGTTCAAATCCTTTATATACGGAAATATGAAATCCGATGCTGTCCCTTCAAGGATCGCACTCACGGATCCCTCCTGCTTGCATCGTGTGTGGCAGTTTTGTTGGAGGGTGGTTTGAGTTTGAACAGGCTTGAGCAGTTCGGCTGTTTGGTTGGCTGTAAGGTTCTGGCATAGGGTGAATACCAATCCCTTTCAAAGACATCTTTCAGTTGCTTGATGATGCTCGTGTCATTGCTCACGTCTACTTGATTGATAACAAGACCTGTGCCGGCATTCTGGGTAAATTCATTCCCTACCCAATCAAAGTTTCCTGAAAATAAACAAAAGAAACCACAGTGAGGAGTTAATATCCACTGGGGAATATTCCCAAAATAATGACATGCAGAGCAGATTTTATTTTTAAGAAATAACAAAGAAACCAGTATTCCTGGTTAGGAATACTGACAGGGAGACCAAATTGTGTTGACAGCTCAGGAAAAAAAAAATCCAAGAAGCTTTACATATGGCACTTAATATTTGCATATTATTTTGGCATTTTATGCAGCTTTGTTCAACTTGCAACCCCAAACAAGGCATCTGCTGTTCCTTTTCGTAAATGTTATTTCTTATTGACACTCACACAATACACTAAATAGAGCAACATTTAAAATATATAGGAATACATGTTAAAATCCTGGGAACAATTACTACCTTCTCAAAGAGACAACATCTAATCCATATGCACAAATGAAGGATTCTAATTATAAAGCTCAAAAGCATCTGCATCAAAGAGAGAACTGAAGTCAGAACAGGATCATCACCTGTTCAAACTGAACACAAAAAACTTTCCTTTTGGGATTCAAAATCATTCTTCATCTGGGGCTCAGACCCTTGACCAGAAGTCTGGTCAGAGATTCTGAGAGCAGATTTCCAGGTATAACTTTTGGGGTCTGCCCCAAGATCGGCTCATCATAGCTCCATAAGAGCCCCATATTCAAGGAGCTCCCCCCCATTGTTATTTTGCTTTTATTTACATTTTGATGACTTTTCAAAAAATTGTTTTATTGACATAATTCACATATCATATACTTCAATAGTTCAGTCATATTAGAAATAGTTGTACAAATGTGCTTGACACAATGGGAATATGTATGGAATGTGAGAAGAGTTGTACGAGCCCTCAATAGAATGATTTAACAGAATAGTTGTACAACCATCACTATAATCAGTTCTAGAAAATTTTCTTCCTTCTTGTGCTCATTGTTATTAGCTCCTCATTTCCCTTCAACCTCCCCTCCCATGCTCCCAATAGATTATTAATCCAGTTACTGTTTCTACAGATTTACCGATCCAGGATTTCATATGCTGGAAAACATATTTTAAAAACCAGCAAAACACAAACCAACCAACCAACCCTTCAACAAACAAACCCAACAGCAATAATAAAATTAACCAAATCAAAAAGAATATTATGGACTTTTGGGAAGATGGTGACAGAGTAACACATACCAGAGGGACTCTGCAGAATTCAGCCCAGGATAGTTGCTTAGAAGGAAATTCAACACTGCTGTATTGCAGGAGGAGCATCATAAAGATAAGTAGGCACAGACTCACAAGGTTTTGAGGGGCTGGGGGGTTTTGGCTTACCACAGTGGAGGCAGGCTAGGGGTTGACCTTAGCCCCGCCACTGTCTCTGCCGGAGCTGGGATCATTTGGAGCCTGCATGGGGGCTTAATCTTAACACAGCTGCAGTTTGCCGCCACCAGCCTCGGGGCAGGGACTAATCCCTTGCAGCTCCATGGGCAGGGATGGGGCTCAGCTACATTGTTACTTTTGTTTCCTTCTCTTCTCTATATCCCCACACAGTCTCAGCTGGCTTACTTTTAAATTTATTTTTCTCTTCTTTGTCTCTTTCCTGTTCTCTCACACTCCACTGCTGACCTGAAGACCACTCCCCTTAGCCTAGGGCATTTACATCTGTGCCACACCCAGCTAGGTGAACTCCACCCTGTGCAGCTAGCGGAGGCTGGGCTACGCCCTGCTGACCACCACCAGGGGATACTCCGCCCAACTTCTTACTGGGGAACTCCTACCTGTGTGCCTAGGGGCCTAAGGCAGCTCGGCCAAAACTCATCAACGTTCCAAGCTGCTGCAGGAACCTCTGCCCAACCTCCACAACACCAAAGCAGGCAACCCACCTGCCTTCTGGGGAATTCCCCTGAGAGGGAAGCCACAGGAGAATAAAGAGGTAGGTTAATTCCACAGTGAAACTAGCTGTAGGCAGTTGGAAGAAGCATTCCTACAAGTCTCCCAGAGAGAGCCAGTGTTTTTCAACTCCCTGGAAAATGGCACCTGGCTCCTCTGAAACAACGCAACACAAACAGCCATCAGCCCCAACGACCTCAATGAAAAAAAACAGGAGAAACAAAAGGCAATGGAAGAAGATGTCCTGAACATAACGACATGCATAGAAGAAGACATTGGGCTGCCACAGAACAAAATTTTCAGAATGGTGCTTGGAGTCATACAGGATATGAAGGAAACAATACAGAAAAAGGATGAAATGATAGAGGAGATAAAGTCCATAAACCAAAGGGAAATACAAGAGTTTAGGGAGGAGATAACAAAAACCAGTAGCAGATACATGGACCTCGAGAATCGACTGGAGGAAGCAGTCAGTGACTTGGAGGGCAGCCAAGCAGACTTTAACAAACACGAACAAAAACCAAATAAGATCATCAGAGAAGCTGAAGAAAACCTAAGAGCTTTGTCTGATGCTATGATGAGGAACAACATTAGACTTATTGGCTTACTGGAGGAAGATACAACAAAGAAGTGATCTGCAACAATAGTGAGAGAAATCTTGGAGGAAAACTTCCCCAGCTTAATGAATGAAAACCAGGCAACCATTCAGGAGGCTGAAAGAATATCAGCTAGACTGAATCCCAAGAAGTCCAAGGCACATAATAGTTAAACTATCCAACTTTGAAGAAAAGGAGAAAATCATGAGAGAAGCTAGGGAAAAGCAAGCAATCACATATAAAGGTTCCTAAATAAGAATATGCTCAGACCTATCAGCAGAAACTATGAAGAAGAGGAGAGAGTGGAGTAACATATTCCAAAAATTGAAGGAAAACAATGCAAACCCAAGAATACTCTACCCAGCCAAATTATCAATCAAGATAGATGGAGAAGTGTAAGAATCTTCACAGATAAGGAAAGACTCAAAAACTACGTTAGAAGAAACCCAGCCCTATTAAAGATCCTTGCCAACTGTGTTGAGAAGCTGAGCATCATGGAATGCCAGATTATTAGAACATAGTGTTCTTGCGTTAAGGGAGTATTTGAGTAGAGGCCCAATGTCCGCCTGATACCATAATACATAACCTATAAATATATGTACATAGACCTATTTCTCTATCATTAGATATATACGTACATATAATACATACATGCCTGTTTTTAGACCTCTATAAATGCCCTTTGCCTCCTATTTCTTTCCTCTACTTCCTTTTACTTTCCTCTTGTCCCACTATCATGTTCAGCCTTCATTTAGGTTTCATTAATTCCTCTTAGTTACATTGCCCTTGATCAAGCCCTACCAGGCTTCCTACTCTCTCCTTGCCATCAATTTTAGATCATTTGTTGTTCCCCGTCCCTGGGTTTGTTAACACCCACTTCCTTTGCCCTGCCCCCAACTCTCCCGTGTCCACCCCCCAATCCCAACCATCAGTCCCATTGTTTTCTCCCCTGGATTGTTTATCCTATCTATCTTATCTACAGAGGCAATAATAAGCACAAAAACAAGGCAGAGCAAAAGAAAACAAAACAACAACCAAAAACTGACAACAACAACAAAAGCCTATAAATAGTTCCAGGTCTATTTGTTGACATTTAGCAGTGTTTTCCGGTTGAGTCTGATGGGGTGCCACACCCTGGCTTCAAAGTCTATTTTTGGTATTCCCCGGGACTTCATTGCTTTGCTCCCCTTGTTGCTCTCCGGCACGCCCTTAGCATATAATGTGCTTAAAGAGAAGTTGACCTGTTCTACTCTCTATATGTCCATGAACCTCAACAACCACATCTTGCATCATTGAGAGGGACAACAGGAATAAAACACCCTTATGTTCCAGAACAACTGGAGTGATGTACAATAAAAATCTCTCTCCTCTGATATACTGATGTGATGCCACATCACTGAAAATGGAAAAAGACAGAACATCTTCACACCGCATCTGAAGCAAACCACCCTCCAAGGCCCAGGGCAATAGGGAAGACTTGGATTTAAGCGCTGGATGGGTGAGGAATATGGATGCCCTGGATTCTAAGCCTTGTTCCTTGATCTCTTATGTTCGCATATTTATTTATTTGTTCACTTACGAAAGTTTTATTGACTTATAGTTCACATATCACAAACTTAAATAGTTCAATCATATGTAAAAAGCTGTATAATTGCATCACCATCAATTTTAGAACATTGTCTTTTGTACTCATTGTTATAAACTCCCCATTTTTCTCTAACCTCCCCTGCCATGCCCCCAAGAAACCATTAACTCAGCGACTGTCTCTTCACCTGCCCTGGGTTTCATACACAGAGACATACACAGAGACACACAAACTGTCTTGGTCTTTAGACCAAGTTTCTTTATTTCTAAACTGCAGCCAATAAAAGCTGTTCTCCTTTTGCAAAGTTATGAAGAGAACCAAACAAGATAGAGAGAACCAAGCAAGACAAACTGCTCTACAAACTTAAAAGCACCCTAAAAACGAGAGGATTCATATTTTTACTTCCTCACTGAATTGGGGAAAAGTGATACCAATTCCCAGTTCTGGATTGTAAACATGTGTTTTGCTTTTCTGCTTTGACTTCCACTTAAAGTGTACAACCATACTTCCATTTTCAGATTTACGCTCTTTCTTTTGATAGACAACAATTTCCACTCATTGGCTGTACCTGTGAAAGGATTACTCTGGGCCCATCTAGGTCAGGGGAAATTAAGAGTTTTTTATGGATTAGTAAACCATACTACCAGTATATCTGATTTCTGTATCTGGGGATTGATTACCTTAGTGATAATATTTAATATTCATTGGATATTATCTCTGTGCCATAAGACACTGGTGGAATTTGTGGCTTCCATGTTGGAGATCACATTTGATCACAGTCAACGCACTTCATGCGCAACCACCATCCGTCAATGGCGGCTGCCTGAAGAGCAGCTTCCAGCAGAGCTCCCAGGCTCCGGGGATGAGGAAGATAGACTTGCTGATCTACTTTTGAAACACTGACAAGGAAAACCCCACGGATAACAACCATTTGATCCACACCTGATCATGGGATGCCCAGGACTTCCAGCATGCTGTTCTGTGGTTTACAGGGTAGTCAAGAGTTAGGGGCCAACTCGATGGACAGCAGCCAACCAGAATCGCTGTGTCCGGTGCTTTAATTGTACTGGGGCTTTGTAAACACCATCCTATTTAAATTTCACTCAGTGAAGTAGGAACTATTATTAGCTCCATTTTCCAGAGGGCAGGACCTAAGGTTTAAAAATACCTTAAGTGAATCAGACAAAGTTAAACATTTAGAAAACCGGCAGTGGTGGGATTATTGCCTAAATTATTTAGGGTCCTCAAACTTTTTAAACTGGGGGCCAGTTCACTGTCTCTCAGACCCATTGGAGGGCTGGACTATAGTTTAAAAAAAACCTATGAACAAATTCCTATGCACACTGCACATATCTTATTCTGAAGTAAAAAAACAAATGGGGCAAAAACACCCGGCGGGCCGGATAAATGTCCTTGGCGGGCTGCATGTGGCCCGCAGGCCATAGTTTGAGGATGCCTGGTAGAGTAACAGTAGTTCTCAACCTCCCTAATGCCGCGACCCCTTAATACAGTTCCTCATGTTGTGGTGACCCCCCCAACCATAAAACTGTTTTTGTTGCTACTTCATAACTGTAATTTTGCTACTGTTAGGAATCAGTCGACCCCTGTGAAAGAGACCCCAAAGGGGTCGCGCCCCACAGGTTGAGAACACTGGCTTAGACGATGGCCGTGTTGTCACTGGACCACTCTATGGTAGGTCTTGCATTACTCATGCTAGGTAGTCTGCCCTGGGGAACAGGGCAAAGAGCAGGGTCCGTTCTAGTGCCAGAGCTCAGTATGAACCATTCAACTCATTACCTATTAAATAAGGCAAATGGACTAGAAACTTTCTGCAAATAATCTAAATACATCTTAATAGAAATCCTAGCACATAAATCGGGCGACAGAGGAAATGTTTGGTGGAAGAGCTCTCTGCCCTCACACTCCTGGTTCCTGACCACAGGCTCTCCCCAACTCATCAGCAGTGGCACAGCTTCTCTACCTCGTGGTCCAGATTCTCAGAGCCTTATCGCAGTGCAACACCTACCGATATAAGCCGCTCCATCAGTCACCATGTACTTGTTGCGATTTAATTTAGGAAAGGTGTTATTTTTTTGTTCTTTTGAGGCACAGGTATTCTCTCTTTCCAGATCAAAAAATTTCTGTTAAGACAAAGGCAAAGAAAGCAGTGAATAGCATACCTTTTTGATCTTGTTCAAAAGCACCAAAGATGTATGACTTAAAGATCAGCAATAAACCCCTTACTGGGTTGTTCAAACTACCAGATAGATGAAGCTAAAAGTAGCATGCTCAACTAGGTCTATAAGTGATACTTTTATGCTAAAACATGCACACAAAATTCATTCTTTCAAGAGGGTGAAGGCCAGAAGGTTGTTTAATTCTAATTGTTTTATTCATCAGGGAGCACTGGCATTTGAAGTCTGCCTCAGGGTGTTTTCTGTAGAGCATATCAAAGACTGAATAAATATTCTTACATGTTGCATACATTATAAAAAGCAGCAGGCCCATCTTAATGAATAGCTGATTAATCTTGGGATTTGTAAAGGTCAAAGTAGATTTTTTGAAGGAAATAAATATGTTCCTTCTAAACACCTAGGTCTATAGGCTCTTTTAATAGGCAGCTTAATATTTTTTTTAAAAAGCAACTTCAACGCAGAATCGTGTTTCAACTTTATCATGTCCCCAAAAGCAATATTCCAGTTCACCTGCTCTGGGGTGGAGGGGTAAGAGAAGGGGGTCTGCAGCAGGAATGGCTGGGCATGTGTCTCAGAAGAAATTTGAATTTGCTAATGGCTTAAATGAGGTTTGTGCAAACAGTTAGTGACCAGGCTGTAAATCTAAAGGCTGGAGGTTTGAGTTCACCAAGAGGTGCCTTAAATGAAAGTTCTAGTGATTTATTTCCCAATATTCAGCTGTTGAAAGCTCTAGGGAGCATAGTTCTCCTCTGAGACACAAGGGCTGCTTTAGTTGAAGCTCACCCTATGGTAACTGTGTTATTATTTACGTATTTACTAACTTTAACTTTTTATGGTCAGATGGGTGAAAATGTACAGAGCAGAGCAGTTGATGCACATCTCTAGGCTACCTGGATTTTAGATTTTGTCTTTTTCAGGTGTATATAGTCTTCCAACACCACAACAAAATTGTGTGATTTGGAAATCCCTATATGAGTAGATTTTGAACTCGCACTTTATTTTAAACCCTATTCACTTAGTTCTGATGATGTGGCCCTGCTCAGTACAGATACTCAATGAAGTGATCATTAAAGATATGGTGCTATAGCAAAATGTGGCGAAGAAATCAGATGGTGCCTGGCTATCAGAAAGGGCAAAATATGGGATTTGTCTTAAAGCAAGCAGTCATGTAAGTGAGGTGTCAGCTAAGTCCACCGGTAAGAAGCACACCAGCTCGTGTGATCCATGGATTGTAAATAATACAAGCCAAGATCAAAGGAGGGGATTGTATTAGAACTCAATTTTGAACACCTAATTTGCAGAAGGCAATGGAAGACAGTGAGAGTCCCAAATCCATTTGCAAAATCCCCATGTGCATTAAGCTTCCATTGATTTTCCTCAGACCATTGACTTTGGATGTGGATAGTCTTGCTCTCAGTGCATTTGAAAGTGGATGACTGCAGATATGGTTAAGCTAAAATTTAACATATTATTACTTGTTTTTCCTCTTGACTCATTTAAAAGTTCTCTGTTTATTATCTTCTGCTTTCTCTTGGATTGAGGTTTTTCTTTGTTTTATTTTCTTTGGTATAATTTTCTTTATATGAAATCCAGGAGAGGTAAATCTATAAAGTCAGGAACTAGGTTATTAGTTTCATAGGGCGGTGGCATGGGAGCTCGGAGAGTAATGAGGAACTAATAACAGTGGGTACAAGAATGAAGAAAATGTTCTAAAATTGATTGTGGTAATAGTTTCACAACTTTTTAATATATTTAAGCAACGGAGTCATATGATATGTGAAGTATGTCAATAAAACTGTTAAAAAATTAATGCACATTTGTTTCATGTCATTGGTTGCAATCTCCCCAATGTAACGTCACTCATCCCACACTCTCCTTGTGTTTCCTGCTACCATTCCTCTTTCTTTCAGACTCATATAAACTTGTTCCTTGGGTAAATGCTGCCCTTTGATCTTAAAAGCTTGATTATTATAAGGAGTATATATCCCTCTAGTGTTATTGTTCTCCTTATAGATGTGTCTATTGCTTGGCTGAAAATTGAGCCATGTGGGATAGTTAAGGTCCAGACCTGAAGGGCGATTATTAATGGCCACAGTTTCAGAGGTTCCACCAGTCTCTATCTGAACAGAAAGACTGGCATTTTTCAATAATGATTTTGTTTTGTTTCACATTTTTCTACCCCTATATTTTAGGATCTTCTTATGTGATTCTTTTCAGAGAACATGGCAGTGATAGCTGGGTACTACCTAGTTCTTCTGGTCCCAGGACTGTGGTGACTAATGTGTGTATGGTCTTTAGTCTACTGGACTAATTGTTTCTATGTGTCTTTCGATTTTCATCACTTTTTCCCTCCAGGTGGGGAAAGACCAATAATTGCACCTTAGATGGTTACTCACAAACTTAAGATCCAGTTGCGATTCACCAGAGTAGGATATTGTCTTTGAGTACCATATCATGCCAATTGACCTCAATGCCCACCAAGACATGGTCCTGGGCTCCCAGGTCCAGTGACTCATTCCCTGAAGGTGTTTGGTTAAGCCTAATAAATTGTCATAACTTTGCCTGTTGCCAAATGCCTTATCTGTGTCTATTGATACTACCATGTGGTTCTTATCCCTTTTCATGGCAATGTGGTGAATAGTGCTGATGGGCTTTTCGATGTTGAATCATCCCTGCATCCCTGGAATGAATCCTACTTGATCATGGTAAATTATTACTTTTATATATTTTTGTATTCTATGGCCAATATTGTGTTAAAGATTGTCGCATCAATGTTCATTAGAAATGAGGACCTAATGTCGGGGTTTAAATGGAGAGAAAATGTTTTGAGAAACAATGTACAAATGCGTTTTACACAATTGATGTGTGTATGGATTGGGATAACAGTTGTATGAGCCCCTAATAAAATGTTAAAAAAAAAAAAAAAAGGACCAACATATACCCCCCTCCCAGGGGGATGAATAACAGGATAGTGGGTAAAGGGTATCAGAGGACTATGTAAGATATGAAAGTAATAATCTATAACTTATCAAGGGTTCATGAGGGAGGGAAGGCGGGGGAGGGAAGAGGGAAAATGAGGAGCTGATACCAAGGGCTCAAGTAGAAGGAAAATACTTTGAAAATTATGATGGCAACATATGTACAAATGTGCTTGACACAATGGATGAACGCATGGATTGTGATAAGGGATGTAAGAGCCCCCAGTAAAAGTATTTAATAATAATAATAATAATAATAATAATAATAATAAAGGTATTTGTGATGCAGAAAAAAAAAAAGAAATATCGGTCTGTACTTTTCAATTCTGTGGGATCCTTGCCTGCTTTAGGTATCAGAACTTTGCCTGTTGTATACTCCACTGACTTGATGGAAAAATCATTGACAATAGCATACTCCATCACATTCATGTTTATATCTGCAGCAAAGGTAAATACATATTTATAATCTCTGCTCAAACTATATACGAGTATATTCATGGACATATTCCCACTCTCCCTCCAACTTTCAGGGAAAGAGTCTCCCAGGCTTATCCACGTTATAAGATGTTTAGAAGATTTATAATTTTTAAACATTGTGTAGTATTCCACTGTCAGTAGGGGCCATCGTGTATTTATTCTTTCATTAATGAGCATATAGGTTATTTTAATCTTTTTCCAATTGTAAATAGGGCTGGGACGAACATAAGTCTTCACATATCCTTTTTGTGTTTTGGCTCTAATTTCTCTAGGATATATACCAAAAATAGAAGGCTTGCTGGTTCACATACCATTTCTCTTGACTGGTACATTTACTCTATTTACGTTCAGTAGAATCATCTATGTGAATGTGTTGTCACTTCGCTGTGGGCTTGTGTGTGTGTGTGTGTGTGGCTCCTGGTTTCTTTGTTCCACATAATATTCTGTGCTTTAAATTGGTCTGTGAGTTTGCTTGTCATTTGCTTCATTGCCGTTGTTTTAATGTTTATTAATCTTTATGATTTTCTTCCTTTTTATTCTGATGAGAAAATTTATTGATTTTCTTTGAAGTTACCATGTAGCTTACTAATTTCTTCACAAGTCTAACACAGTCTGTTCTTTCTTGAAATGGATTAGATTAACTGTCCATTTGGAAGTTCTGTAACTATGCTATTTATTACTTCTTTTTACTTTGTGATTATCTTTGTGTATAAGTTGAAAACTCTTGTTCCTTGTTTTCAGTCGTGTAGATTTATTTTACTTAGGACAATTCTAAAAGAGGTTGACTTCTGGGTAGTAGTGTCATATATATTAATCTCAGGGTCATATATATTAATCTCAGGTTGTTGTCTACCCAATCTCAGGTTGGGTCGCTGTTGGAAGAGCTTCCCTTTAGTATTTCTTTTAAGAGTGGTCTGGGTTTTTGCAAATTCTTTTCATTTCTGTTTTCATGAAAATGTCCTAATTTTGCTGTGTTTTTTGAGATACAATTTTGCTGGTTATGTGATTCTTGGTTGGCAACTTTTTTCAGAATTTTATATATGACATCCCATTGCTTTCTTGACTGCATGGCTTCAGCTGAGAAATCAGAGCTTAGTCTAATTGGTTCCCTTTTATAGGAAACATTTTTTTTTCTCCCTAAGCTGCTTTCAGGATTTTTTCCTTGTGTTCGGTTGTAGTAACTTTGATTAAATGTCATGGGAATTTTCTTTTAGGAGCCCATCCTGCTTGAGATTCATTCAATTTTCTGAAGGCACATCTTTCTTTCTTTTAAAAAAAAATCACTTTACTTAGGGCGCGTACAGCTCTTATCACAATCCATGCATCCATCCATTGTGTCAAGCACATTTGTACATTTGCTGCCATCATCATTCTGAAAACATTTGCTTTCTACTTGAGCCCTTGGTATCAGCTCCTCATTTTTTCCACTGCCTCCCCCACCCTCCCTCCCTCACGAACCCTTGATAATTTATAAATTATTATTTTTTCATG